TGGCCTAATAATCTTACTATCAAATTTAATAAATATATTATATCAATGCACTATTAAATAACGTATATTCAATAGGTAATAGTACATTTGCTAAATTAAGTAAATATATGAATAATTGCAGATGAAACACCAATTAAATAATTAGATTAATCACCTATAAAAAATTTGATTGGATATATTCTATTAAGAACTATTAGTGTAAATCCAAAAATATTCACAGTTAAATTACGAAAAGGTTATAAAACTATTAGTCTCGGTTTTGAGTAGTTCCTTAACTTGAATTTCAAAATATAGTAGTGAAACTATTAATTTAATACTTTCACTGTAATTAAATTACTAAAATAAAAGGTCATTTAATTTTAATTCTAATTATTTATTTAAGGGTAATTTTAAAAAATTACTCGTTACTCTATTTTAAGCAATTTATTTTAAAATTTTGCACTGTTCTAAAGTGGCGCATTTAGAATTGTATACTATGGGTTTAACATAAAAAAAATGTTCTTACCTCCTCCTCATTGTATCAAAATTAAGGGTATTTTTAAATCATTTCTCCTTGGGAAGGGTTTTTTCCCAAAAATTCTCCGTAAATACGCCTAAAGATAATAATCAAGGCTCAAATAATACTATTCAATTAAATTATGTTTATTTGTTATAATATTTAGAGAGAATACGATGGCATGTGCCTCCTCATTTGATAGTAAAATATCAAAATGTTTGTTGGTAATGTTTTACTCATCACCTGCTCAAAATGAGTAAAAAATAATCAAAAAAGGTTTTCATAGTGACTAGTCAATTATAAAATATTTTCGTGTTCTACCATCTTCTATTATAAATTTCTATATACGCTATTGAGTAGCCTTATTAGTGGTATAATTAGTGATAATATGACAAAATTAAAAGTATCCCAGATAAAAATTAAAAAAAATAATATTATAAAAACATTATAAAAACATTATTTAAAAAAAATACTATCGGGATTCCTAAAACAATTCAACGTCTTTATAAATACGAATTTTTAAATTTGGAACACTAAATGTTGTATGTGCAACTAAATTGATTCTATGTTCATACAATTTATAATGTATGATAATTTATCAGAAATATACTCTAAAGGAGTACACGGGCGTAATCTGAAGTAAATTTAAGACCACATATTAATATAAATAGCATTAACCATTGTCAGCAAACGCCTTCTCTCTTGTATAAGGAACTCGATAAAAAAAAAATTGTCCTGGATTTTTAATACAACAAATTGAATACAGATGCGTATTTAAAAATTAATTTCAGGAAGGAGTCAGAGAAGTTTTTTTAAATATTTTATAATAATTATAATTTNAGAAGCTTTTTTAAATATTTTATAATAATTATAATTTTGAAAAACCTTTAAAATAAAGCTTAGAAGATATTGATTTTGTATTCATTTATTTGTTTTCTGTGTATCATAAATTTTTCTTAGCCTCGCTAAAAAGATTTTGCTTAACGATATGTCAGAAGATCGCAAATAGTTTTAAGTAGAAAATGCTACCCTTGAAAATTGAAAAAATTACTGTAACTTTTTTAAAACGAATCAATCAAAACAAAAACTTTTTGGGAACACTTTAGATGTCTTTCCTTCTTTTGACATATTTTAAAAAATTGGCCAATTTCCCTTAATTTAATTTAGCAACTTTTGCTTACAAAATGAAGTTTTTAAATTTAACTTTTGAAAATATTGCAAAAATTCAATAAACATATTTGAGGGTCTCTCCTTCCATAAATATATACTATATTAATGTACTACCAATGGCTTATGCACCCAGAGAAAAACCTCGATCTATATAATAAATTCATTGTTCAATTTGATAAATATATCATTACTATTGAATCAATGATATATTTATCAATATGATATTTTTTTTTCTTGTCTTGAACAATAATTATTTATAAGAATAGTTATTTTGTTCGTATTAATAAAACATTATCATAAACCCTTGATAAAATTTCTCTTTCAATTTTGATTGAGGTTTTTCTTTGGGTGTGCTAAATTATAATTTTAAATCTTACTTAAATTACAATATACTAACAAAGTTTAAAATAATCGAACTTTTATTAAGCATAATAGCAATGAAGCATTTAATAGTTTAATCACTGTTAGAATTCAATCCATAATAATCTAATAATTTTCTTAAGTACACCTTTATTTCAACCATATTTAACACGTTGATAGACAAAATCATATATTACTGTTAGGCAGTAATATTAAAATTTTTCGTCTGGGGTCACTTTTAAATATACTGCTATAACAGTGGTTTATTTATTCTAAAAATGTCATTACTGATATAGCAGTAATATGTTCAATGATTTCTTATGAAGGAGGAAGTTGTTCTGACCCAATGCATCTCATAAAATCAGTGGGCACTTTATTTTTAGCTAAACCATGGCATTAACTGTCCATAAACGTGTTAACAACATGTTCAAAATTAAAGAAAATCAAACATTTTAGTATTATTATTATTGTATTGTTATACAATTATATTAATTTTACAAATACATCACTAGTAACGTTTCATAGTCCAGGCTTAACAAGTGTAAGTGGAAGTTAGTCACAATAGCAGTAGTGGTATCCGTTCACGTAATCTATTCTATTTTTGTCTATGGACTCATCCAAGGATTGCGTATCCAAATATTTGTATCGACGCACGTTGACAGCGTGCATATTGTTTTGTTTTATTAAAATTATAATAAAATTAATGCAAATGCTGTGAATAATGAAACTGAGTATTAAAGGATCGACGGGAATAACATACTTTGTTCGTAGCTATTCCTATATATTTTTTCAGAATCTATAAATATAGGTAGAATGTTATATAGCACGTTATTCTTTAAAAATAAGTGTTATGTAGCATTGTCATATAAACACAAAAGTGTTTAATATCACTTTTTTGAATTTAATCTTTTTGTGGAATAACATGCTAGAAGTCATCCTAAAATATATTTATAGAATCAGAAAAAATGTATGAATTGCCACATAGCACGTTATTCCCACCGATCCTTCAATTAGGAATCACAGAAAACGTTGATAAAAACAATTATACCCTTAAACAGATCAAAACCTGTTTCAACAGGTCCAATACATAAATATTGTAAATTATACAATGTAATACCTTGTTAATAATTATGCATTGAAATAATCAGATGAACAAAACTTATTGGATTTGTACATTTTATTACACCTAATAGCATAAATTAATTTCTGTTTAGATAAAAGAAAACACTTAAAACTCACCTCAGAATAATAGTAATTACTCTTAATTCTGAAGCGATTGTCCGCTTGTCGTTTTTGCGAGTTGTTGTTACAACTTCGCTTCCTATTACCGGTGAACATCATTGTGTTATTACTTTGTATTCTCATTCTGCAGTAAGAAATGTTCTACAATGGTCGATAGAAGACACCATGCCATCAGGGAAATTTTTTCGTGAATCGCACGATAACGTGCTATTTAAAAAAAATTACTTTTGTCCACACTAAATAACCCGAAGCCTTTTTGTAAAAATTAATGTAATATCTGCTAAGTAATAGGATTTAATACATAAGTTTCTATAAATATTTAAAAAAATTACGTTGTTAGAGAATAAGAATACTTATCTCCGCCTGACCGCGTAGAGGAGACGCAGCCCGCCAAGTTTCGTTTATTTCACAAAAACACAAGACAACGAACATGGCTGTATGGCAATGATAGTTTGCTCTATTTATAGAAAACTGTAGATAAACCAAGATTATAGTGAAGTGGAAAGTATAGAGCGCTCCACTATTGCGGAATGACTAAATTTCGTAATTTAAATTATATTTTCCTAAATTCGAAAGAGTTCTTAAATTATTATCAAATACATATGTAAGCAATTATTCATCACCGAGAAGAATAGCAACACAAATTAAAAAATAAAATATATATTACAGGCGAAGCAACATAAAATAGACAGTCCCATGTTTTCAAATTACTAAATTCTCGCAAAACTTGCGTAAAACACTACAGCTGAATTAATAACATTTTTTTGGTTGAAAATTTAGTGTTTTTTTTTATGTTGGTATGAAAATCAGAAAAATAAACAACTTTAATTCCTTCAATAATTAATATTCTTGTCGATAAATACATACATAGATATATATTATCTTATTTAATAAATAAAAGTAAGTTTCTGTTAGAACAGTTACTTTTTTCAAATTGATACTTAAATTTCAACATTTATTGATGTGTTAATTATATTTACTAAATTGAAATAGAGCTAGAAATTTTTCAAGATGTACACATTTTTTTTAGACGTCAAAATCAATTGTATGAAAATGTAATGATTTAAATAACATTTTTTAGGTAAGTGACACTAGTCAAAAATAAAATCATCTTACCCTGCTGCTTAATAAGTTCATTGTAACGACCCTAATTTTCTTAAAGAGTTAATAGTATTAAATTAGTGATACACTAAAAATTAAATATATAACTGAAAATACATAAATAAATCAAAATATGAATATATTTTCTTGATATTACATTTATAATGCCACTTAGAGCAACCTATAATTTTATCCTAATTTTACTGCGTATGTACTTTAAAATTTCCATTTTCAGGTAGAACTTCCACAAAATAAATGTGAAATATTGTAATATTACTGTGTCTTTTTTTTAACTTAAATGGTCATAAAATGACTTGTGTACTATTCCTCTATTAATAATTACATTATATAACGTACAAATCATCATAGAATCGAAGTTTATATTAAAAAGTTCAAAGAACTTATTCAACTTTCCAGACTTTGTTAAAGTAAAAATAAAATGAGAGTAATACTTGTCACAATATAGGAACAAGTGTGAATTTTCAAATTAAACTATGTTATTAAATATTTTTTTAATTATTTAAGTACGTAGCCTATTCTACATACTGCTATAATAATTACATCAGTATCACTTATATTTGATACAAATAATTTCTTATTTGACACAATAAATGAAAAATAATAGGCTATGTCATACAATACTTAACTTAATATTTAACTGGGCTACAAGCTAAAAAATTTGAACAGTCAAGAGAGCATAACATAATTCTTCAAAGAAATATCTGGTAGTGAATATTCAAAAATCACATCCAAATATGCAATAAACACATTTACTTCATATCACCTTAATCCATTTGATGAACAATTATTTTATTTTATTAATTTAAAAGTGTATTTTTGCTTTATTATTATATTTATAATTTTTTTTTTACATTCTTAAAAAAATTAGACATAGAAAGAATATTGTTTATAGTTTTAATAATAAAAAAATTATTATTATTTATTTGAACATGAATCTTCTTAAAATACAGTCAAGATTAGTTTTTTCTAAAATGTTATAGCTTAAATTATTTTTTTAGCTAAAAATATTTTAAAATGGATTAATGTGACAAATGAAATATCAATAAGTATATTTTAATATTTAAACTTAGAATCCAATAAATTAAGAAATGTATTATATACTTTCTACAGGTTTTGAAATTTATTAAACAAACATTTCCAAAGAAATGATTAAAAATATATTTTTTTTTCCTTCAAAAGTTTTAATTTGAACAAGACATGAAAAATAAAGTATTATAAATCAATGTCAAGCATTTTACAAAAATATGCTATTTTATTTTATGATATAAGAGAAGACAAATTTTTTTTTTTTATATAAAAAAAAACAAAGTAATAAAAAAAATGTTGTTCAATAACTGATTTTTCATTGAAATATATGTTGAACGTAGGATTTTTTTTAATATTACAGTAATGTACCCTCTTCTTCATTTAATTGTACTACTTTTTTGTCATCTATTTCTAAATTACTATTCATCTTGTTAGCTTCTTTATGCCTTGCAATACGTACTTGAAGTATATTTATAAATTCATTCATACTTTTGACGGGGCCTAGAATAAGGAATACTTTTATTGAATCCTCTTCAAAAGCTGTCAATCTCACATTTTTTTCATTTACTTTTTCAACTTTCATGTCAGACCAAATCTAAAAAAAAAAAAAAAAATACAATTTAATTGTTTTATTTATTTTATATTAAATTTAAAATTCTAAAAATTTATATTTGAGCAAATCAATGGTAACGAGAGTTACTTTTGTGTTCAGAATAACTTTTAAGTTTCCATTATTTCTCATGACTACTCGTGATGATTTTCCATTATCCATATCATTAACACGAAGTTGTCCACGACCTTTTTCAACCCAGTTGGATTTTGCATTATCATACATATATAGTTTACACAAATTTAATTGGAAAACATTCATATCGTTTTCTTCTCCAGTCATACAATCTACTTCATCATATTTTCGTTTTGTTGCTCGTGATTCTTCATACTCCTTCGCAGCTTCAATTAATCTCCTTTTAGAATCTTCTGCTGATTCATCTAATTTACCATTCTAAAAATAATTTTTTTACAACTAATTAATTCTCATCCATTAAAAATTAAAATAAGTTCAATACTTCTCCATGTTCTTCATTTTTTAAATTTTCAAATGTTGGTGATACTATATTGGAAGATGATGAAACCTCAGCTTCCTGAGTTTTATTCGTTTTTTTGTCATCTTCAGAAGTCGAATCAACCTCTTTGTTTAATTCTACACGCTCATGAAGGTTTTGACCAAATACAAAATCACTAACTAATGATACTTTATCTGGTTTTTGAGTCCTACTTTTTTGTATAACTGCACCAAAAACTGCAGGAGGAGATTGCAAAGATACTTCATTTTTGGACAAAGCTAACACACTGTTGTTATCAGGATCTTTTTGAATAGATATATTTGCAGCACTTGAAGGTTTAGCTAAATAAAAACAATACAAACAAAATTTCAAAAAAAAAGATAAGTACAGTCTTCATATTTGCATTGGCACATTAAGAGGATTTATACTCTTCAGTTGAAGAATAAGCCTTCCACCAATAAAAATATTGAAAATGACTATTTATTAGTAGATTCTTATAAAAATAAAAAAAAATATTAGTGAGGAAATATTCTAAAAATATGTATTTTGATTGGGCCTATAATTACCCACAGGACACAAACATCTAATTTTTACTTAATTTTAAATATATTATATTGAATTTTTGATGTTTTAAATACATCTAAAACCATCCCGATGTACTACCTAGAGCCAACAATTTTTTTCTACTTTTCTAAGTATATTATAAAGTTATTTTAGTTAGTTTGACTTACAATTTGATATTGATGAATTCAAACTAAGTCGAGATGGATTTAACGAGAATGTTTTTGAAGGTCTAGGAGTATCTGGTTTTTTAAGATTTAAATCAAATCTAAATGAGGATGAGGATGGTAATAATGAAGGCCGTAAAAACATTGGACTACTTGCTTGAGTCTCCACTAAAAATAAAAAAAGTTTCAATAAATAACAATGTATAAGGAACATTAAACAACTAACTATACAAATTTTGTAAACATAATTAACATAATATGTGACTGTAACTCAAAAAATTCAATATTGATATTATGAAAGATTATATTTCAGATTTTAACACTCTAAAAATTATATTGTAATATAACACATTCATATTATATGACACTAAATGTGTAAAAGGGTGATATATTTAAAATGATCATACTTAATATAATTTACAATTTACTATTTTCTATTTATATATGCTAGCTAATTTAATCAATTTTTATACTTAATATAAATGCTGAAAACAAAGTAAAATACAATAAAATTCACCAATACATTAGTCATTTATCTCAAAATGCTTTTTTCAAGTAAAAAGTAAATTAAAAATTAGTTTTTAACAACATGCTTTTATAAGGCAATATGTGTTAATTACTACTTACAACTTTCAATTTGATACTCTTGTAAGGAATTAGAAGGTTTTATTACTTGTGGTGATTCATGATCATTTGAAACTGGATTTTCTAAAATAAAAATATTTCATTTTATTTAACAACATAATTAAAAAATCACTATAAACAAAAAAAAAAACGCTTCGATGCAAATCTTTAGATAGCGTTTAATTTTAAAAAATTGGTGGATTATTCCAAAAGCTACATAATCTGCTAGTTCCTTATTAATATCCTGATTAAGATAAAGTATGTCGAATAAAAAAAGGATTATTAAAAAATATTATTTCTCCTAAAAAAATTGTGTTGATCCATACATAGTTCAAAAAGTGATAACATTTTAAAGTTAAAAATGTAAAATATAAAATCGAGAATTTTAACACAAAAATAGCACAAGGTAGCCATTTTCACCGTGAAGACAAAATAAAGTCCGAAATTTTTTTTTTCCATAATAAAGTATATTACATAAGCTTTAATTTAAGGTATATATAAAAGTGTCAGACTTTTCGGAACAATTTTAAAAGTTAAGTTGAAAAANTCGGAACAATTTTAAAAGTTAAGTTGAAAAAGTATCTACATGCATTTTTAAGATTTAAACTCCCTCGTATATAGGGAAATGGTCAGATTTAAAAAAACAGTATGTCGAATGAAAGATGTATATAAATACTACTTCTCATGAAAAAATTGTATTATTCCATACATTTTTCAAATAATTATAGCATAATAAAGTTAAAAAAAAACCCAGCACAGGGGGTTCGCGGCACAATGGTGACGTGGCATAGTTGGATCAAGTATAATGATATCTGACAGTGATTAAAATCACTATAAAAAAAAAAAAAACGCTTCGATGCAAATCTTTAGATAGTGTTTAATTTTAGAAAATTGGTGGATTATTCCAAAAGCTACATGATCTGCTATTTTCTTATTAATATCCTGAATGAAAAAGGGATTATTAAAAAATATTATTTCTCCTAAAAAAATTGTGTTGATCCATACATAGTTCAAAAAGTTATAAAATTTTAAAGTTAAAAATGTAAAAAATAAAATCAAGTATTTTCATACGAAAATAGCATTTGGTAGCCATTTTCACCACAAAGACAAGTCCAGAGATCAAATTTTTTTTTTTAATATTAAAGTATATATAAAAGTGTGAGTATTTCCAGAAAACTTTCAAAAATTAAGTTGAAAAAGTTCTACTTTCTATATACATTTTTATGTTTTGAATCCCCCCTGTATTAAGGCAAATGGTCTGATTTTAAAAAAAAAGTATGTCGAATGAAAAATATATAAATATTATTTCTCATAAAAAAATTGTATTGATCCATACATTTTTCAAAAAGTTATAGTATTATAAAGTTAAAAATGTAAAAAATAAAATCGAGAATTTTCTTTTACCATAATAAAGTATATTATATAAGCTTTAATTTAAGGTATATATAAGTGTCAGTAATTCCGGAACACTTTAAAAAGTTAATTTTTGTGAAACAGTTGTCATTTTAAATCCCTCCTTGTGGGCAGGTAAAGAGTTAGATTTATAAAAAATATACCAAATGATAGATAGACATCAAGCATCTATAAAAAAAAAACTATATTGATGTGTTCATTTTTGAAAAAGTTATGGCAGTTTTAAGTAAAAAAATTTGAAAAAATTTCGAAAATTAGCAATTTTTAAATTTGTAAATTTTTTGGAGGTTTCCCCCATTTACGGTGAACGAGGGAAATTTTTCCAATTTTTGAGGGTAATGTCTTTGACTAGATACGATTTGTGATCTTTTGACGTATTGTGAAAGAAATCTGTTCGGCGAGAGCTGAGAAAAAGTGGTAACAGACACAAAAAAAACACATCTTAGTAAAACCAATACCTTCTCAGCTTCACATCGAAACTAAAACCACATATTTTCAAATAACAGATGTAGATATAGAAAAATAAATAACCCTATATTATTTATTTGAGAAAAAGCTTATTAAAAATAATTCATTTAAAATATTTATTAATAACTTATACTTAAAACAAATTTTATGTTTATTTATTCTTATAACTACTAAAATCAGTTATATATAAAGGATAGAGGGGATCAAAATTTATATAAAATGCTAACTCCAAAATGAAGATAAATTCAATTACATAAAATGTGTATATATATAATTTACTGAGATAAGGTGTAAAATCCAACCAACTAAAAATATAATATAGTGTTTGAAAACAACAATAATATAACACATTTTCAGTATTATATAAATAAAAAGTAAAAAAATAAAATTTTTAATTTAATATGTTGACTGTAAAATCATTATGAGTTATAAAACTTCGCGAGCTATTAACTCATGGAAATAAATTTTATTTTTAAAAAAATGTATACTTAGTTAAAAAATGATACAATTCACTATATTATTATGTTCACTATTGAAATCTGTTTTAGTTCAATATTGCATAATATGCATTTATACTCATTAAAAGTATATAAATATTGACTTGTGAATTTTTCAAATAAATACCATTTGAAAAATTATCAGTATAATTTAATTAAAAAATTATAAAAATAATAGCATATAAAAAATATTTACCATTGACTTCAACTTGTTCTGTCATTTTAATAGCACACTGTGAACTGTAAAGTATTCTAACCAATTTTATTCTGGATTCTCCTAAAACACATGTAAATTAATAAATAAAACTCAATATCAAATATTTAAGTATAGTCAACAATTTATTGATTATTTGATTACATATAATTCAAGTATAAATAACTTTGTTTTTTTACTTATGAATATATTTTTCTTAATTTTTTCAACTTTTATCAAGGACTAAAAATTAATTTTATTAAATTGTATTTTATTTGATAAATCCAATAATTTTAATAAATATACTTATTTATTTTACATATAGATTGCATATAATTTTAAAATATTTNTACATATAGATTGCATATAATTTTAAAATATTTTTGTAATACAAATTATTAAGTTTTTAATTAAATTATAGCTTTTGAAACAATAATTTGGTTTTATTCTTGAATTAAAAGATAATGCTTTTCCAAATCCATTAAACAATCAAAAAGTAATTACAAATCATATATTTTTTTTTGACTTTAACAATGCAATATATAAAAATACCTCAATTAAAATAAGTTATATTGAAGAAAATATAATTTTTGAAAAAATGTTTTCTTCCCTGCTTTTAATATTTACAATTTAGCATTTTAAAATTTTTAAATTAAAACACAAAATTTATTAATTTTTATACAATTTGGTCTATAGTTAGTAAATTTAGAATAATGAATCAAAAAAATTGTACAAAAAAAAATTTATAAAATTAATAAAAAAAAAAATAAGTGATTATTTTGAGTGATTATTAATAAAAAATACTTATTAATAAATATAAATAATAAAATAGAATAATTCATTTAATCAATTAATAGATTAACTTATAGATATTATCATAGTATCTGTATTGTTAGAACATTATACATTTAGACTGATTTCAATAAATTTTAAAATATAAAATTAGTTAATACCAAGTTTATATTTTAAACTTTTTGTAAAATATATACTACACTATTTTGTATGTCGATACAAAATGTTATAATAAAAAGCAATTAGTTGAAATTTAATATTTGGTTAATGCAAATAAAAATTTACCATCTTATAGTTCCATATAATTATACTATTTGATTAAAAAACAAATAAATTATACAGATAGAATTTTAGAAAATAATGATTTTAATCACTAATAATCAAAATTAATTTCACAAGCTAAAATAATTTGTCAGCAACTTTCTTAACTGTTAAACCTTACAGTAATTGCAAAAGATCCAATTGTAATTATCATTTTTTACAACACAATATTGGTAATCAAATAAGTTTCCTGAAACTGTTGTCATGTTCGTAGCACACACTTGCAGTACAGTGTATCTTCTTATTAAATGTAAAATTGTCTAGTAAAATTATATTATTTTTAAATTTAAATTTATACAATATTTATTAAATTTTCTTTTACTCTGACCAAATAAATTTATTTAATTAATATAAAGTTATCAAACGAATCTAATTATATTTATAAATGTTAAAATTCTATCTTTTGATAAATATTGTTTGTGTGTCTGTTCATATAATGTAAATCAGTACTACTGATTTATAAATCAAAAATTTTAAAACTAAAAACACTGTTTATCTCTATACGTGTATTTTTATAGTCATAACATAATGGCTAATACTTGACGATCCCTTTGACCTCCCCTAAAAGAAGACAATTTTTATGAATTAGGCAGTGGTCGAAGTGGCTCAAAATATGTGGAGGGATGCCCTCCATTTTTGTTGATAATCTGAATACACATTGAATAATATTAAGGGGGATGTATTATTTTAGAGATAATAAGTAGAGGTATGAAAAATGTAAATTAAAAAAAGTAGAGGGATGGCATCCCTCCGTATCGCCCCACTACTACCACTGAAATTAGGTAGTAAATTTATATCTTGCCTCCTCTTCAAAATTTGCTGCCTAGAATCAATGTTACTTTGCACCTTTGGCATCTTTTTATAAAAGTTTCCTTGAATTAAGAATAAATTGAACACAATTAAGAATAAATTATCTTAGAAAAGCAATTTATTTTAGCGCTTCCAAGAAATTGGTGCTATTCACATTAGCAGCAGCAGCAGCAGCAGCTCAGTTTCGTGTTTGTATATTGGTATCACTGATGCAATCTCTCTATATCCTATTCCCCTTCTATACTACTAAACAGATTTCACAACTTGGGTAACATTGCAATCTCCATTTACTGAACATACCTATGTTCAATTCGTTGTTTGAGCACTAGTATTTAATAATTACAAATAACTAGATACCATTATACATAATCATTTGTTATATCTTTTTCGTAGTGTTAAAAGGAATAAGTTCTTTGCACTCCTGTCGACTAACTTATAGTGGAAGTTTATTATAAGGTAAATAATATTTATTAAATATTTAGATTCAAAAATATATTAAATATTTATTTTAAACTATTAGATAGGTACATGAAAAATACGTTAATTTTTTTATGAATTGATAAATGTTATTCAAATTGAAACAAATATGCTTATTTTAATCTCTTCATTTCCATTTTTAATTTTTAAATCTAATCAATTAATTTGGTAGTTATCGTAAATGACTACTATAAACCCGGCATAAAACTAACCATGCGTTTCCCCCCCAACTATGTATCTTGATTTATGTTAATGAATATAATAGCTTGCTTGTAAGTTTTGATTTATTTAATTTAGAACTCGAACAAATGAAATCTTAATTTATTTTTAATATTTATATTTACTTAAGACAGGGGCTTTGATTTCAGATCTTGAAGTTTGAGGTTAGGATTTCAACAACTAAATAATTTACATTTACCCACCACCTAGTCTTTAGTCATTTAAATTATAATTAAAAAAGTGGTATTACGCTCATATTTTCAGTATAGCACTTAGTAATTTATTGATTTATATTAATAAATTATAGTTATATTTAATTTTAATATATTAAAAAAGATTCTTTGTTAATTTTGCCTTTTAGTTAAAAATTTGTGTTGTCTTCATTTTTATTAAAATATTAAAACTTTTAATAATATTTTTAACATTAATTATCTTTATTATCTCATTATTTTTGATCATATTAATTTATTAAGTTGTATAAGTTCTTTAATTTTTAAAATATTAAAAAATTCATGTTATTTTTAAGATAACAATTTTAATGCATAACAAATATTTCAGTTATTTTTTTTTAAATAAGTCATTTGGATTTAACATTAAATTATTTTCTTGTTTGACATTAAATTTTTTTTTTTTTTGGAAATTATAGTTAAATGAGAGAATAATTACCATTATTTTATAAATCAATCTCTTAATTTCATTAATTAATTGCTTTTTTTTTATTTTATATTTATTTGATTCATTTAAATTAAAGTGGTAAATACTGATGACTTTTTTTTATAAAATATTTTCATTTTTAATACTTAAAATTAAATTTTAACAATTAGTAAAATTTACTTAAAAGTTAAATTTTAATTTACTCAATCATTTGGTAACTATATAATTAGCTAATTCAATCTCTGGTTTGGTTACATATTCGTGCTTACATGGTTTTGGTGATATTTTCTTGATTTTTATTTATATGTTCTTCTCAAAAGTATCTTGTAGTTAGTTTTTATTTCAACTATTTTTAATTTGATTGTGTAAGAAATGTGTATTTTGTTTGTTAACATTTTCAAGCAACCAACTCCTGACATTGGTACGTTTCAGATGAAATAAATCTCCTATCAAATATCATAAGTTGATGTGAAACTATTAGTTCTCAAACAAAATATATTAAAAGATGGAAGACCAAGGCTTAAGCTTTGCTGATCAGTCCCTTGCACTCAATTCTGCAGACGATGCCAAACCTATTGTAACAGCCATTGAAAAATGTCCATACTTGATCTATTTCAATCTTCAAGGAAATACACTAGGAATTGAAGCATCTAAAGAAATTGGTTTAGCTCTTGGTAAACATGGTTCTAATCTTAAACGTGCATTATGGCAAGACATGTTTACTGGCCGGCTCAAATCTGAAATTCCTATTGTATTAGAGCATTTATCAACAGGTTTGTTAGCAGCTAATGTACGTTTATCTGAACTTGACCTAAGTAACAATGCTTTTGGACCAATTGGAATGGAAGGTTTAGTTAAGTTATTGAATTCTCCTGTGTGTTATGAATTACAAACTTTACGTCTAATGAATAATGGATTGGGTATTGGTGGTGCTAAAATGTTAGCAAAAGCATTGCTTGACAATTATGAATCTAGTTGTGCAGCTGGTTGCCCCTTTAAACTTAAAGTATTAGTGGCAGGAAGAAATCGTTTAGAAAATGATGGTATTATTGCATTATCACGATTTTTTAGTGTTGTTAAAACTATGGAAGAAATAACTATTCCACAAAACGGAATTTATTGTAAAGGTATATTATCCCTCTCTAAAAGTCTTTTAGAAAATCCAAATTTAAAAGTACTAGATGTTCAGGACAATTTACTGACTCCTCTTGGAGCTGAAGCATTGTCTAATGTATTGCCCAAACTTAAAAATTTAAAACGTTTAAATATAGCTGATTGCCTAATAAAATCCAGAGGTGCCATTGCGATTGCTGAAGCTTTAAATGTACATGAATCACTTGAAATCTTAGATGTTAGTTATAATGAAATAAGTGGTGAAAGTGGTTTAAAATTAACTGAAACTATTAGTCTTAAAAGCAGTCTAAAAGAATATAATATTAATGGGAATAGATTTGGAGATGATGTTATTGAACAAATATCAGATGTCCTAAAAAAATCAAATAAAGATAATATATTGGGATCCTTTAGTGGCGATGAAGGTGAATGCAGCTCAGATGATGAAGATAATGATGAAGTAGAGGAAGAAGAAGAAAGCTCATCAGACAATAATGATGATACAACATTAACAAAAGCAAATACTTCAGACAAATTTGATGATGAGTCTGTTAGTCTTATTAAGAATATGGCTCTAGGAGATTTAAAACCTGACAGTCATTCAGAAATAATTGACATAGAAACATTTATAGATCAGCTCATGAATGTAGCTGGTAAATATTCAAAAGATAAAGAAACATTGAATAAATGTTTTGAACTTTATAAAAAAGCATACTCTCATGCCACAAAAACTATGAAATTTTTAGACCTTACTAACTTATTACTAGTAAAACATGGTTTAATCAAAAGTGAAGATAAGAATTACCAATTGAGAAAAGATGTTGGTAGATGTTTGGAAGTTCTCAGAGAAACTGTTGAAAACAAAACTATTATACCAGAACCATCTCAAAGTGTTTTGAGTTTTATGTTAAAAAAAAAGTATACTGTTTAAAGGTGTAGTAATTATTTAATAATGTATATTTTATAAACTGTTATTTTTACTTTTTACTATACAAAACTGGGTGTCATTTTTTTCACATATATATATATATATTTTTTTTTTTTAATTATTATAAAAATGAGGTAATACACAAAATTAAAATTACCTATATATGAGCACTTATTCAATATTACTATCACTTTTTTTTATACTGTACATTATGCAACTCATTCCACAACCTTAATAAGTGAACTGTTAAAATCATTTTTAATTTTATTGTATCCTCAATTTATATCTATTGCTGTCTTGTTAAAATAAAGTATATTTGTATGAATAATTTAATGAACTATTCAAATTTTTGTAAAGTAGTGTACTATGAATTTTAGTACTTTTTCCTTGACTGGAATTCAATGTTTTTTTTTCAGTGTTAATTGCATCTATTTAATACCATTTCAGCATGTTAAAAACTATTTCACCATAAGATCTTAGTAATAATCAAAGCCCTAGTTACACAAAATGATCATTTTTAAACATTTTTACATAAAATATTATTATTTTTAAATCAAGTATAAGTAATTTTAAGAATAATTTATTAAACATAATTTACTTGAATTACATGATCAAAATAACTAGTAAATTCTTGCATTATTATCAATAATTTACTTTTAATAGTATTGATGTATCAATACTAATATATTGACAGTTACTTTTTTTAAAGTAAAAAAAATTACCCTTTTTTCTGTAGTTAATCTTTAATATTCAAGCTAAAAAAAAAAGGTTGATTTTACAAACTGTTTGATATGAAAAGTTGTATATTAAAACTATTGACTTATTTAGATGGAGCAATTGTTCAGATTGTGTCTGTAAAGTAGTCTGGGTTTATTTTGAGGACAACTATGATACCAGAATGCCTCTATAATTAGCTATCTTTAGAGCATTATTTCTCTTATTCTTATGGGAAAAAATATGATATCTCTTATAATCCTATTTCCACAACTAATTAACAGACTAAGAGAAAATCAAGTCTATGATAAAATTTCTTTCCATCAAATACTAATATACGATTTAAAATTTAAAATTTTTAGTTTTAGTCAATCTTGTTATAATAATTAAATATAAATGTTTTTATTTATAAAGGGTGTTCAAAAATATAACAAACCACCAAATTTAGGATAACCCTTTATACCTTTAAATAACCCTTTAAAATAAAACTCAATTTATTAAATTAAATATTACATTATTATATTTTTTATCAATAACTTTCTAAATACTAATTTCTAAGTTACTTTTTATATTTGATCATTAGAGTTATAACTATTATACCATATTGCTTGTTTTAAATACAATTGAAGGTTTCTAGAAGTTTTTTTTTGCTATTAGCACTAACTTTAATTATAAATTTTAAATGCTATAAAGTTATTACTTAATAATTCACTAGAAGCAATTATTTAATTCCTAACTCTGTATTAAGCTTTATTAAAATATGTACATATTGATTAATTATATTTGTGATTTAAAATTATTATCGTAAAATGTTTAGATTAATTCAGTTTGCTAAAAAAGATAATTGATTTACAAATTATTGCTACACTTTTGCAATACTTAAAAATATATAGCTTATATTAAATTTTCTTTCTTTATTAAAATTTATTGTTTGCTTTTAATTAATTTAGGATAAATTATAAGTTTTTTTTAATGTTAAGGTTATATTACAGAAAATTCTGTTACTAAAAGCCATTAAAATATCCTGCAAAAAATTAATTTATAAGTTATATTTGTTTAGTATTCATTCAATTATTGGTGTTTATTATGTTTAATATCTAATTATTTCAAATTAACATTGAATTTAAATTGGGCTTTTAACCATTATTAAATAAATAAAAAAGTTGATAATACTTAAGCTGAAACTTACATATTTCAACAAAAACTACTATTGAATTTTAGTCACTTTAGCAAAATGTATATAATTTTTAATAGATAAAATTCTAAAATAATAAATTAAATTAAAATTATTAAAAATTATCTCTGGTTCCTTTTATTTTTGGTTGAAAAAATAATAATGTTAATAATTAATCAATATCATATACTTTTTAATGATATTACTGTTGGAATTACCGTTTGAAATATTTCATTATTTATGATGAAATCATCAACTGGCTGCTATTTTTATCTGAGATCCCTACAATTTTATTCTTATGTCAATTACATTAGTTATTTAAGAATAATAAATAGTTTTATATTTTTATGATGATGATACTGTTGGAATTACCGTTTGAAATATTTCATTATTTATGATGAAATCATCAACTGGCTGCTATTTTTATCTGAGAGTCCTACAATTTTATTCTTATGTCAATTACATTAGTTATTTAAGAATAATAAATAGTTTTATATTTTTATGATGATGATACTGTTGGAATTACCGTTTGAAATATTTCATTATTTATGATGAAATCATCAACTGGCTGCTATTTTTATCTGAGAGTCCTACAATTTTATTCTTATGTCAATTACATTAGTTATTTAAGAATAATAAATAGTTTTATATTTTTATGATGATGATACTGTTGGAATTACCGTTTGAAATATTTCATTATTTATGATGAAATCATCAACTGGCTGCTATTTTTATCTGAGAGTCCTACAATTTTATTCTTATGTCAATTACATTAGTTATTTAAGAATAATAAATAGTTTTATATTTTTATGATGATGATACTGTTGGAATTACCGTTTGAAATATTTCATTATTTATGATGAAATCATCAACTGGCTGCTATTTTTATCTGAGAGTCCTACAATTTTATTCTTATGTCAATTACATTAGTTATTTAAGAATAATAAATAGTTTTATATTTTTATGATGATGATACTGTTGGAATTACCGTTTGAAATATTTCATTATTTATGATGAAATCATCAACTGGCTGCTATTTTTATCTGAGAGTCTTTTAATTTTTTCCATTGTTTCTTACTTAGTTTTTATATTTTAAGGTTAATGTGATTTTCTTTTTTTTTTATTTTGGTAGATGCTTTACTTCAACTTTACTCGTTCTGTTGTGTTATATTTTTATATTAGCTTTTAATTTTAATATACTTTATAAATATACCTATATTTCTTGTACTCTTAATATAACTTATTTTTTACAGAAAGGAAGTGTGATTCTTCAATATGTTAAGTGCTGCTAAATTTGTTACTGTTCGTGCTGCTGAGCAGTGTTTTTTTAAACCAAACAGTGTTGTTAAGTCATCATGTCTTTATACTGTTCAAAGTCGTTCATCATCTTCTAAAGGTGTTCAAGGTCATGTAATAGGTATTGATCTAGGAACTACAAATTCTTGTGTTGCTGTTATGGAAGGAAAGACACCTAGAGTAATTGAAAACTCTGAGGGGTCAAGAACTACACCATCTGTTGTAGCTTTTACCAAAGATGGAGAACGTTTAGTTGGAACTCCTGCTAAAAGACAAGCTGTAACTAATACTCAAAACACATTTTATGCCACCAAACGACTGATTGGTCGCAGATATGAAGACCCTGAGATTAAAAAAGATATGAAAAATTTAACCTATAAAATTGTTAAAGCAACAAATGGTGATGCTTGGGTTCAAGGAACTAATGGTAAAATGTATTCTCCTAGTCAAATTGGAGCTTTTGTTTTAATAAAAATGAAAGAAACTGCAGAGTCTTTTTTGGGTTCAAGTGTTAAAAATGCTGTCATTACTGTTCCAGCCTATTTTAATGATTCACAAAGACAAGCTACAAAAGATGCTGGACAGATTGCGGGACTTAATGTTTTGCGTGTTATAAATGAACCAACTGCTGCTGCTTTAGCTTATGGTATGGAAAAAGATACTGATAAATTAATTGCAGTTTATGACTTGGGTGGTGGAACTTTTGATGTGTCAATTTTAGAAATTCAAAAAGGTGTTTTTGAAGTTAAATCTACTAATGGAGACACATTACTTGGTGGTGAAGATTTTGACAATTTGTTAGTTAACCATCTTGTTACTGAATTCAAAAAAGAACAAGGTGTTGATCTTAACTCAGATATTATGGCTATGCAACGAGTTAAAGAAGCTGCTGAAAAAGCAAAAGTTGAGTTATCGTCTTCTCTTCAAACTGATATTAATTTGCCTTATGTAACTGTTGATAGTTCAGGTCCAAAACATTTAAATATGAAATTAACGCGTGCAAAATTTGAAGGCTTAGTTGGGGATTTAATTAAACGAACAACAGGACCTTGTCAGAAAGCTGTTAAAGATGCTGAAATAAAAACTTCTGATATTTCAGATGTTTTATTAGTGGGTGGTATGACCCGTATGCCAAAAGTACAATCACTTGTTCAAGAAATATTTGGAAAGCAACCTAGTAAAGCAGTAAATCCTGATGAAGCTGTTGCAGTTGGTGCAGCAGTTCAAGGAGGTGTTCTCTCAGGAAGTGTTACAGACGTATTACTTCTTGATGTTACTCCGTTATCATTAGGTATTGAAACAATGGGTGGAGTTTTTACAAGTCTTATCTCAAGAAATACTACAATTCCAACCAAGAAAAGTCAAGTTTTCTCAACAGCTGCCGATTCCCAAACTCAAGTTGAAATTAAAGTCTATCAAGGAGAAAGAGCAATTGCCGCTGATAATAAACTTCTAGGTCAGTTTTCTTTAGTCGGAATTCCTCCTGCTCCAAGGGGTGTTCCACAAATAGAAGTAACTTTTGATATTGATGCTAATGGTATTGTGCATGTGTCAGCACGTGATAAGGGAACTGGTCGAGAACAACAAATTTCCATTCAATCATCTGGTGGTTTAAGTAAAGACGAAATCGAAAATATGGTAAAAAATGCTGAACAATATGCTCAACAAGATCAAATTAAAAAAGATCGTGTTGAAGCACTAAATCATGCAGATTCTATTGTTAATGATACAGAAAGTAAATTAGCCGAGTATAAAGTACATGTGCCTGAAGACGAATCTAATAAAATAAGTGAATTAATTAAAGAAGTTAGGGAGAAAATTGCTCAAGCACAAGCTAATAGTGATCAAAATCCTGAGGATTTAAAAGCAAGTACTCAAAAGCTACAGCAGGCATCATTAAAATTATTTGAAGTAGCATATAAAAAAATGGCTGCTGAAAGAGAACAAGCTAATAATAGTAATAATCAGAGTCAAAAAGATGACCAAGCTGACCCAAAAGATAAAGGACAAAAAGAACAATAAGTTAAATATATCCTATAAATAATGTAGTACTATTTTTTACTATTTTTTGTCTGTTTTATTTTTTTATGTTCAAGTTATATTGCATAGTATTTATGTAAATAATACTCAATTCCTCTTCTTTTAGATATTATTTAAATGTATATAAACCATTTATATATTAAAATATTGAAAAAAAAACAAATGGTTTTAATTTTTATTCACAAACATTTTAAATTAAATTATTTATTTTCATAATAATGTAGTACTTAGACATCTTTTTTAAGCATCATGATTATTTATTAAATGTTTTACAATAAATTAAATCAGTAAAAAGAATCCGGAATTTTTAGTAAAATATTATAATTGGCCAGGATGATTTGTAGTTTTACAATTTTTTTATAGCAAAAAAATTTAGCTGTCTACTTATCAATCTAATAAGTATATCGAATTTTTTGTTAAAACATTTAAAAATAATAATGTATAAAAGTAAAAATATACATAAATTTTAGAATATAAAAGCAATTAAATAAATACTGAAAAAGTCTCAAAATCAAACCAATACTTACATATAACAAGCAATTTTTTGAAAATTTAAATGAATATTTATAAAAGTAGGAAAAATATATTTTTACATTCTTTAAATATATTATCCTTGTGCTTCCAAATTCCCATAGACTGTAAACAAATAAAGTACTTCAAATATTTAATCAATATATTTTAGAAAATAACAAGTACAAAATGAGTGTTTATATAGAAATAAACAATAATACAATTCATAATGAGTATGGAAACTTTGAAATTTGAGAGTTTATCAAATGATTTTTATGCATCAATTTTTGAATAGTGTATAAAAAATTACTTAAGAAGAATTACTATCCCTCTGAATGTATAGACAATGTGAGAAAATATGTTATTAGTTAATTAATATTAACCCAACTATTACTAAATGCTGATTAATTTATACAAAGAGAACTTTCTGTTAATTTTAACTGTTAAAATTATTCAAGAAATCAAATTTACAGATGTTCTGATTTTTTTTTTCGAGTAATCCTTTCGACATTAAAAAGAAAATTACACAGAACAACTTAAATAAAACCAACAACTCTAATAGTTTTTTATATAATTAATTTTTTTTTAACAACTTTTATGTTTTTAAATGATATTATTTGTATATTACATAATTTATTATTTTATTTATATATTAGGAAAAAAAAATTAATTACTTATTTCGATATTCTAGTCAACAATTTATAAATTTGTTTATAATTAACATTTTCATTAGCGCGATACCTATTCAAGCGAGGATCCAGAAAACATTTTTTTGGGGCGCTATAAGCCCAAAATTGACATGTCTTATTTTTGCCACAAGGTGTTCATTTATAATGCCATTCTTTAAAGCGAGTGATTTTTTCTTGGCGCTTGAATTAAAAATATTAATTATACTTTAAAAATTAAAAAGACATTTTTGTTAATCACATTTAAGATAAAAAAAATTATTTACGTGATTCACATGATTTGGTAAAATATTTTGCTTATTGAGGTTGTTACAGATTCTTAAATCTATGAAATGTTAAGATCTATTAACAGTTGGCACAGTTTTCTAAATAGTTGGATTCATAAACCAGATAGGTCCACATTGTTGAGGAGCAATAAAGTTGAAAGGTCGGTAATTTCCAATATTATACATTAAGTCATTCATATTTCTTATAAAGAAATTCTACTATTATCATAGTCTTTATTTTCAAAAATATGTCCATTTTTCTTTGAGGCTATTTTGAAATATTTTTTAGTAGGCGATTGCATTTTCAATAATTTTTTTTACTTCATATTCTTGGAAATTATTTTCTAATTTAAAATACGTTTCAGTCTTTAAATTTTTTTTTTTTCTAAATTATTATTCATATTTTTATTAAGTTGAAGAGAAATATCAATGTTATTGAAACAAATCGTTTGTTATACAGTTATTTTTTATAAGTTATTATTTGATTATTTTGACTCTAAAAAAATAAAAGACATATTTCATTACCATAATATACGTACACGGATTTTCCACGGGGTCATAATAAATTCATATACTTATGATGATTTATCATAACCAATTATATATATTATTTTACATATTTTATTACAAAAAAATTAACTAAACAGAAAATATTAAAATATTTTTAATTGAATATAAAATTATAAATTCTCCTTAAAATAAATGAGTTATATGGTGATAGAACCATATTTGAGAATTTGGTGTTAGAAGGCTATACCTAATATTATGTAGCCTCTCAACAAAATAAACGAATTTGAAAAAAAAAAACATTGCTTTAAAGGGAACCTTCAATATTTGCTTCGTGAGCATAGAGTTGTTTTTTTTTGGGAGAACGAGCTAAATTTACGTAATTTTTCCCTTTCATAAAATAAATGTTTGTAACTATGCATATTTGTTCTAAATTTCTGGATCCATTCACATCCGACGCCTATGGAAACTTATTAGTTAACAAATCATTAATATGATATTGATCAATAATGATCTCAATTGTAATATAAAATTTAAATTAAAAAGTAATTGAGTCATTTATTGTGCATTGTTAAATAAACATATTTTTTTTGAAGGATCAAAATTAAATTTAGCAACCTAAAAAATTTAGTTTTTAAATTTATTTTTATTGACAAAAATTATATTTTTGTCCAAGTTGAAAAAATAAAATATGAAATCAAAAATTTTAACACAAAGAAAGCATGTATTTTATCTACGAGGCAGCCATTTACTAATAGAAGAAAAGTCGTCGGGACAAATTTTTTTTTTTACTTATAGCACATAACATAAATTTTATTAAACATATATTTGAAGATCGGTGTATTTTCGAAACTTTTGTGCAAAAGTTGCTATTTTGAATCCACCTATGTGGGATGGTAAAGGATCTGATTTGCATAAAGTATACAGAGTGATTTTTTTATCATAACCCACTCAATTACTTACAGAATAATAATAATTTAAACATTTTTTTTTTTTATTAT